TTTTTTTTTTGTTAATTTTAATGTTTTTATAAATTTTGGACTCATTTGCATTTTTAAAAAAGATTGGGAGTAAGATTGCAATTTATTCTTTAATTTTCTTTTCTTATTTATTTATTTATTTATATAGGAGGGTATAATAGTCATTTTACGTTAAAATTTGGTGAAAAGGACGTTTTGCACAAGAAAATGCAAAGGTAAAGACGTTCTGCACTAAAAAATCAAACATATGGACGTTTTCCACAAGACCCGTCATAGGTAGGGACGTTTTGCGCCAATTACCCCTGTAAAAATAGGGCAAGCCTTCAAGTATTAGTGTAAACATCCTTGACTTTTCATTTAACGCCCCAATTGGTCCTTTTAGATGCTTTCCATTTAATTGACTGTTAAAAAGGTCAAACTTTTTATATATATACTAAAATTTTCTTATTTTAGTTAAATAATAAGTAAAAAAAGAAGAAAAAATTAAAATATAAGAAAAAAAAAAAGAAAATCAACCCATCCTACAAACCAATCCCCTGTAATAGCATCTTCAATGCAACCGTGAATTCTTTAAAAATTTGTGTTATATAAGTAAAATAGTATGTGTTTAAAAAATTCTTCTTCAATACAAGGGACTCAACCAAGATGATGTGGCATAGGAAAAAATAAATAGTTTTTAGAATTCAAAAACTCTATAGGAATGTTACCCGAGCAAAATTTATGCCCTGTTTGGTAAAGATTTTAATCGAAATTAAAGTCAACATTTAATTTCAACTACACATTTTATGGGATCTACAATTTTTCAACCACACATTTTATCAATTTTTATAAAAATCTACTAAAAATCTGATTTTTAATCTCCCCCAAACAGAAGCTATATTTCAAAAGCATGTGATTTTGTTATTATTTTTAGAAAATAAAAAACATCTAGATAGCAATCTATAAATTGCACTGAAAACCAATTTTGAAGTCGAGCGTCTTTTCGTTAGGCATTAATGTCGTGTAAATTGCAAGTCTTTCCATATAAAAAAAATTTTCAAAATCTCAAAAAAGTTGATTTTCATGCTCATCTGCATCTTCACATGGAGGTACGACCCATATTGCCAGTCTCGAGTCTTGGACGTGTTCATCACACACACACACACACATCCAACGTGTTGAAATGGAAATGATGTACTGATACTTCCTCTCTTGACTCTACGTACCACGCAGATGCATGTTCATAGACGATGGTTAGGTCTAGAAAGGCACGGCCTATTCGAGTCTTCTGACAATAATTGCTCCACTGCCGACACTGTCTTAAATGAATACATCTCATATTCTACCTATTTCCACGTGATAAACTGTAAACGATCGTATTGCCAGAGACATTTCCATGGTGTGAGGGTATATGCAGTGAGTCTAATCGAGACAACAGTCACTTGCATCGTTGGTACTCAGCCTCCTCGATTTGTGCATGCAAAAGGGAAACACCGATGCTCAAGTCAGTTTAGAGTGAATAAACGAGAGTATGGTACTCGGGCTCCTCGATTTGTTTTCATACCTCAAGATGGAGAAGAAATAATATTTGCAAACATTTTAGTGAAGTGAAGGGTTATTTTATCCCGAAATATCCTCCTGAAAGTTGAACCTTGTGACAAAATCCTCTTCTAGTTGCACGATGTAAGAATACGCCACTAAAGGGATTTCTATTTCCTACAGCCAAAGCCATGCCTCATAAGGGTAAAATTATATTAAAATTTAAATAAATTTAGGAGGTTGATCCTAAAGAATGTGTAGATAAAAAAAATATGTTGACCATGATCATTGCTCCAAAGAAGGTGCTCTCTGGAAGATTGATTGTAGGGAGTCGAGTCGAGTCGAGTCAGAGTTAGAGTTAGGATACAAGTCAATCTTGGAGCCTTTTTAGTTATATCGAGTAATATCACGTCATGAAACATTTTCTTTGAAAGTTATATATATGGTGCGATGGCAAGCTAGCACTTATTATCAATAATTTGATGCCAATACATGAATCACAAAAGTTCAATTTCTAGGCTATTCCCTGGAAGAAATCCTTGAAATGGGAAATTTAAACATGAATAACCGAAAAACACAAGATTAGGATTATTTTAGATAATCCAACCCTAACAAGGGGAAACGGAAACTCAAATTATTCTCAACCTTGCAGACATGCATTTTCATCTCAACTAGAAAGAGATACACAATATCGAATATAATTAATTTCAACTTCACTCAAGATAAGAAACTCTTGATTGCCCTAGTATAAGTCTGATTAGTTGTGCTGTAACCTCCATCCACCACAAGATTTATGCCACTAACAAACTTCGATTCCTCGCTACAAAGATACAGCGCCGCCTCTGCCACGTCCTCCGACTTCGGCACCACCCCTTTCAGATTAGAAGATTCACCTAGTATCTTTTCCATCACCGTCTTATCCACACCTACTGCCTTTGTCAGCAATGGCGTCGCCACCGCAGTAGGAGATATGCAGTTCACTCTTATCCCATGTCGTCCTAATTCTACACACAGATTCTTCGTTAGCCCCACAACTGCGTGCTTAGACACCGTATACGAATGAGGCGACTCGCCGGAAACAACTGAAGCAACACTTGAAGTAAAGAGAATAACCCCTTTTTTAGCCGGAATCATAACCCTGGCTGCATGTTTCGCTCCCAAGAATGCACCATACACGTTTACATCAAAAACCCTTTTGAAATTTTCATTATCTGCGTCGACAATTGTGAAATCTAAATTACCAGGGATTCCAGCATTGTTGAACATGATATCTAGGGTTTTATACTTGGATATTGTGAAATCAATCAAGTTTTTTACGTCAATATCACTAGTGACATCGCAACGAACATAGGAAACATTTTCAAAAGAGCCAAGTTCTTGACAAATAGACTTCCCTCGTTCATCCTGGACATCTGCAATAACAACTATTGCTCCATGTCGGGCGAAGAGTCTTACAGTACTTTCGCCGAAGCCGCTTGCTCCACCGGTGATAATGGCAACTTTGCCTTCCAATCTGCATTCAATATGAAAGTACATTGATTCATTTGTGAATAAAATGTTTAGAACTTTGGAGGTGAATAAACTTACCTTCTGTTAATGGGAACTTCAATGGTGCAGCCATTCATTTTCACGACTTCCTCCAAATTACTATCTCAAAGTTAAGGATTCTAAAAGCTGTAATGGCAATATATATACATAGAATTGATCTAGGCAGAAATGTATAACTGTTCAAGAGCCACGTCTGAAAAGTTTTTAAACTGTCTACTGTGGGCAGAGATCAGATCTGTATTTACAGATATGGCCAAAGCATATGGATGGGCTACCATTGAATTCTAAATACAGTACGAGATAAATGAATTTACTCCATCATAAGTTGTCTTGCAACGTGATTAATGTCAGCTAATTTACTCTGCAAGTCTTCTCTTGGTGATTGGCAATCCAAGTTGAACTATTTCATCTAAATTTAGTCCCTGTTAAGTTTAGTTTTAAAAAAATTGATAAAAATTTAAATCAAAATCAACAATTGATTTTAATTACATATTTTATTAGACTCACAGTTTTTATCAACTTTTTTATTTTGATAACCGTGGATGTTCGGGTCAGCTTGCGCGCACCTCGACTAATCCCACGAGCCTTGAAATTTACGGTCGAGTACTCACCTTAGTGGCCCTGAGGAGACTCGAACTGTTTTTATCAACTTTTCAACTAATTATTCATTTTTTATTAAAATCTACTCAAAATCTTATTTTTGCAAAACCAAACTGGAGCTTAGCTTCTAAAACATCCCACTTGGGCAGACAACTTCACTATTTATCAGAAGCACAACGGGTACATAAATTTAGCGAATGGATTACAATAAAACTTGAATTCAGAATTTTTATATGCCAATGCTACACTATCTAGGTAACTCGTTTAAAAGCTTAACTGAAAAATATATTTAGCCAGTGTTTGAGCCATATTCTTTGAAACTCATTTTCTTTTAAAACTCATTTTAAATTACGCATTCTTTCAATAAAATAAACATTTTTATCTGCTTTTTAATCATATATATATATATATATATATAAAGCTTCAAATACGGGAAAAAATTTACAACATCAATTATCCAAAAATGGCTCAAACATGAGCTTATTGACGTATATTTACTAAAAAAAAAAAATTGTCATTTACAAGAATTACAAAAGCTTCCACCAATTATAAAAAGTCAAAAAAAATTAAGCCAATCAAAACTTCTCCAACTACCACCACATTGGGGCACACATCTCCTTTTATTTTAGAAGAATATACTTTGGAATAGTAAATTGAAGGCGAAATGTGTGGTTGAGAAAGAAGGAAAAATTATTGATGTAATAAAAAATATTATTTTTATTGAAAAATATGTGATTAAAAATGAATAAAATAATAAGAATGAAAATTTTAACGTATATTTAAAAAAAAAAAATGCCAAAGCCCTTCTAGACGTTCGTGGTGATCAGCCACTTGCCTCTGCACGCTGCAGTACTGAATAGCTGGAGTTGCAGTAGAATTAATTAAGTCAGGTAGTCAAATGATTTTTCTCCTCAACGTAAACAGGATCAATAAAGATCCAAGTGGAGAAAAATTTCCACGGAATTGATATCGACGTTGACGTGATCGAATTTGATTGACGTTTTTTTTTCATCTTCCAATGGCACCATGTCGAGTATTGTCTGTCAAAATTTTTTATTAAAAAAATATATACTTATAGCATGAGTGAATAAACATGGGGGTGAATTAATGACATGCATACTCTCTTGTCTTCTGTTTTCCCTCTCTCAGAGATGAAGGGATTTGCACCAGGTAGATGTCATCCAGGCTAGGAGGGCATTAAACCTAGTAAAGCAAAGCTTAGACATGATTAACTCTAACTTAAGCTCCCCTTATAAATCTGTTCGTCTTGCAACCGATTATAGAACAAACTCGTGTTTGACTAGAAATTATAAGTAATTTATGATGTTTCCTAACATAGGCAAATTATGAAATAACTTGTGATCGTATCACAAAAGATCGTATCGAAGACCAAAAATGAAATAACTAAATTTAATCAATATCTATTGGATTATTAGTGCAAACGTATGGTTGAATTCTATTGGATTAATGTTTTTTGTGTTAAGGTGTATTTAATTGTTTTAGATGAGATTTATTTGTACTTTTTGAAAAGTTATGGAACTTCACATCTAATTTTTTCTTATTTTTTGTTTTTTACTGCTTTATTTGATTTTAATTTATTTAAATAGTAGGAAAATTCATCATTTAATTGCTAAAATGGAGAGAATGACTGCATAATTACAAGGTTGATGATGCATTATGTTTAGGTTGAGGGTTGATTTATTATATTTTTCAATGATTGAGAATGAAAGTAGAAATTTCCTAATTTTTAATACAACTCAACCAATCCGAACGGACTAATTATGTCCAATTCTAATAAATTTGAATAGTGATGCTCGAACGGGTTTAAAGACATGTCAAAAATTGACAAACCGACTTAGCAATACCTTTATTGATGTTTTTTTTAAACCGTCCAATTATGCGTCGACAAGTGTCATCCGTATTTTTAACTTGTCAGCAAACATGTTTGTGTAGTACAATTGAATAAATTTTGGTTATTTTTTCTTGAACCTATTCACGTCTCCACTCTAATCCAATACACTTTTTTTTTTTCCAAATTTAATTAAATTTTATATGAGAAAGTACACAATTGACCCTTAACTTATTGCTCAATTAAAAAGTTGGTCCCCAATCTTTAGAGAAGATCAAGTTTGTTCTCAAGCTTCCATCAATAAGATTTAGTGCCTATTTGACCCCATTATTCTACATTATATTAGAGGAATAATAATTTTTTGGATTATGTTTAATTAAAAAGAAAGGAAATTTTTTTTTTAGTTTACGTACAATATTATTTTATTGGAGAATGCGTTGTTAATAAGAATAGAGAAAAATGAATTATAATTTAATGAGAAATAATTGAGGGCAAATGAGGGTTTAAATATTTTTTGATTATCGAGATTGCTATGCAATTATAATGAGAAGTTAAAGATCGACTTGCTCTTCTCCAAATGTTGGATATCAACTTTTGATTGAGCGTACAATTTATATATACATTTTAGGGAGATTTGCATCCACGGTCCAAAATATTTCATTTTATCGTAAACTTTATTCAAATATTTCATTATTACTAACTCCAAACCTTTCATTTCATTTGAGCAGGACGACGGATAGTTCGATTTTATTTATTTGACCGTTAATTGACCTAAAAATTAAAATCTCTTTGACCAAGAACGGCAAAAATAGTCTCTTCAAATTTTTTCTTTCAAAAAAAAAAAGTTTATTTTTACCTTCTTCCCCAAATCCACCGACCCCACCCACTCCGCCCAACCAAAACCCACTTGAAAATCGTCATTACCACTTTGGAGTCGGAGTAAAATTGAGAAGAAACAATTGTGAATTTACAAGGGAGGTTTTCAATATCATAAAATTGGGATTTGGGATTCAAAAATCAGGTCTTTAGCCCATGTTTGACACTCATTTTGTTAGAAAAATAATTTTTGAAATAGTGATTGATGGAAGATTATGTGGTTAAAAAGTAAGAAGAGTTTTTGGATTTATGTGTAATATTATTTTATTAATAAAATGTGTGGTTGAAATGAAGAATGAGAAATAGAAAGAGAAATATCAAATGCTTTGACTTTTGAGGGAAGATTTCAAATTCTTAAAAAGTAGAACTGAAAAAATTTCAGGGTCTCTATCGATAAATGGAATTGTTTGATTAGAATTTGAATTTTGAAATCTTGGAGAACATAGAATTCGAGCAAGATAAAGAAAGGGCCTATTTGGTGGTTTGAAAAATCTGACCACCCACATCAATTTTAACCATGCTCGAATTTGATTATTGATTAAACCTATAAGAAAAGGGATTTGATCCTGCAAATGGTGGCATTTTTGACAATCTTGTATCCTTACGATACCGGGGATTACAAAAAAAAACTAAGAACTGTAAGATTTTCATTCTAATTCAAGACAAAGCAAAGTATCAAGAAAACTCAAGAATTTAATACCTTAACTGAAGAAGGAATCTTGAAACCCTTTAGTTAATTTCAAGAAGAGCTTTAGCCCATGTTTGACGCACATTCTTTCAAAATACGTTCGTTCAAAACTCATTTTTAACCACACATTCTTCAATAAAATAAGATTTTTCATTGTATCAATAACTTTTCATTATTTTTTAACCACATATTTTACATCATATTACTATTTAAAATACATGAAAATTGGCTCAACAAAAAACTTTCAAAGATTTGAGTTGGAAATCTGGGGTTTGAGGGCTTCGCTTTTGACGGGTTGAAGAGGGCACGGGATGGTGGGGGTGTGGAGTTGGAGTTGGAGTTGGGGAATGAGGTAAAAATATTTCTTTTATTTTTTAAAGTTGAAAATTGAAAAAGATCATTTTGTCTTTCATTTTATGAATAATGTTATTTATCATTATGATAATATAATATTGATGATGTGACATTCTATATGAATTAATGAGATTTAGCAATTCAATTTTATGAGAGAGAGAGGAGAAGGAGAGAGAGAAATGTGAGTGATAATGAGTTGTCATATTATCCATATTCTATCATCACGATAATAAATAACATTACTCTCATTGGTCAAAAGATGTCAGATTTTTTATTTTTGGGTTAACTAATGATCAAATGAGTGGAATCTATCCATCCGCTCCTTCTGTTGCAACGAAATGAAAGTCTGAAACTGTGGAGGTAAAAATGAAAGATTTGAAAAAATTTGCGATAAAATGAAATATTTGGAACGGTGACTGCAATTCTCCCTAAATTTTATGTTTCTAAATAATTATTTGTTGCGCTCGTGTTCCTAACCTTTTAAAATTATGACAACAATATCCTAACCAATAAAAAAACTTTATTTGGACGGTAATAATAGGGACGAGTTAAAGCATTTTGTAAGTTAAGGACCCCTGCGGAAATTTGTCCTGATTTTAATTCCCTTTTCTTTTTCCCAATTTTCCACCTTTCTTTTCTTCCAAGAATCTATGTACAGATTCTTGACTTTTCTCTCTTGACAGTTGACACACAAGAATAGTAGAAAAAGG